AAGATTATTGGAAGCTTATGAAGGTACTCTGATAGCTTCAATTGTAGGAAGATTAAGGCCTCATTTGGTAGCTTGGAATTATAGAGAAAGAAATGGAATTAGACATGAAATCTATTAACACGTGTGTTTGGTATGCAATAATTATGATTCTTTGAAATCTGGATTCAAGAAAATTTGGCAAAATCCAATTCCATCACATGTATCATGAAATTCGATTTCACGGTTCCCTTTCTCCAGTTTGCCCCTTCTCCCTCCTCCATGATTTCCTTCTTCCTCCTCCACGAACCATCTCCTTCTCAATGCAGAAACATCACTCTTTTTCCTTGCCTTCATCTCCTTCCTTTAGCGACAGATGGTTTCTTCCTCTTCCAATATCACCGACAACTATGTATTCCCTTTCATTATGTCGATCACCACTACTCGCTCAAGAGGACAACCACAATCCACTGCTAACCCCAAGAAGAAAGGCCTAAAATCTCCGTTGAGCTTCTTAGTTCACACCTTTGTTTAACAAGTCAATCATGATGCAGAGATGGAATAGAGGATGGGGGCAGCAGGTGCACTATCAAATAGGAACGAGTAGAGAGAGAAAGTTGAGAAGAAGAGAAAAGGAAGGGGCTCATGGTGTCATGGCATGAACATTCATCATGCATTCTTATCAATAATGAAGGACCCATCATCATTCGTGCATTCTTGCCGTCGATAAAGTGCCCATCACCTCTCTCTCTCTCTCTCTCTCTCTCTCTGTGAGCGCTCTTGGTCTGGCGATGACGATGAAGAACTGAGCTGTAGTGGATGGTGCAACAGTCATCACTGCCACCTACTCGAAAGACATCATCATCTACATCGATCTCCTCCTCTCTTCTTCTTTGGTCTTCATCTTCTTATTCAATCAAGTGTCACCGGAGAAGAAGAAGAAAGCAGTGACGATGAACCATGAGAAGGCAGCGACAGACTGTAGGAGGGGGTCCTTGCCGGAGAAGAAGAAGAAGAAGAAAGGGAGGGGGTCCTTGCCGGCGCATTGACGAACGGTGGTGAGGATGCTCGTCAGATGAGGAGGAGGAAGAGGCAATGACATGATGCAGAAGGAGAGGAATAGGACTTTTGGGCTGATGGAGATAATTTTTTTTAATTTTAAAAAGGGCACTTTAATCTTTTCTTATTTTAAGTACTTATATTTTATTAAAATTATATCAAGATTCTATCATCATTCCAAACACACTTTTAAATTCAATTCTATTTCAATTTCAATTCTGATTCCGATTCCAACTTTGATTTCGATTCCATCAAAAACTCTTCCATTATACCAAATATGGCCTTAGGTTATTTTTGCCTCTCAACCTTACTTGAAGGATCACTAAACACTTTAAACTCAACTAAGAGTCAATTTTATCTCTTAACATCAAAAATTCTCTCTTTCATCACTCTAACATTAAAAATACTTGATGTTTGTTAGTCATCAATGGGTCTTAAAAATTTTAATATTTTTATTTGATTAAACGTCATTTTTTTCCCTCAATTTTTATTCGAAAAATCAGTAAACACTCTCAATTCAAATATTTTATAATAAAAATATTACAAAAATGTAATGTAGGTCCCATTAATGATCAATTAACAATTAGAAAACAGCAGAGTGATAAAGAAAAAAATTTTTAAAATTAAGGGACAAAATTGAGTTATAATTAAGTTTAAGATTTTCAATATTCTTTCAAGTAAAGTTAAAAAGCAAAAATAATCCTTAATCCATTCTAAAAAGGAAATAGTTGATCTTAACATACCTTCGGTTATAAGGATATACAATACATCTTGGATTTGGAAGAGCATTCTTAGTCGTGCTTCAACTATACCTAATCAACTAAGATGAAAAGTTAGCTTTTCACTTAATACCCATTAATAGCCCCTTTTGGATGCTTGTGCATGAAAGTTTTAGACCTCTTAATTCACTCCACAAATCCTTAGGGCTTGTGTTTGGTTTTTCAAAAAATAATTTTTTATTTTTTTAAAACAAAAAAAAATAAAAAGATTTGTTGACAAATTTTTTTTAATCTAATTATTTTAAAAATTATTCTCATTTTTGTCTTCAAAAAAAATAGAAACACGTTAAAAAAATTTTATTTTATTTTTATTGTTTTCAATATATATAATTATTAAAATATAAAATTACCTTAACCAATAATTATCATAAATCATTACGATTAACTGTTTGTGTCCATCACCGTCGGCCGATTTTTTAATTCTAAATTTTTTTAAAGTAACACAACTAAACATATTTTCTTTTTATTTTGTTTTGAAAAATAATTTTAAAAACTGTATTGTAGAACAATTTTTAAAACCAAAAAACGAGAATAAAAACCAAAATCACCCTTAGTTTCGTTATACTTGAAATACTGAACTCCTCTCATCAATTTCCCCCATCCACAGCTTCTACTTATCTTTTTTACTCATGCATCTTATTTTGGTTATGATGATAGGCCATTTTGGCATGGTAATCTTTCTTATTGGCACTCTTTACATAATTTTCACTGAGAGGATCTTTGGAAACAGAAGCCTCCATACAAATACCTCTTATATAGAAGTTGCTCAATGATGTTATTCCATCATGTGACATTCTCCATAAACACCACTTGTCTTCACAAGTCAAATGTGTTTTTGGATGCCAATAGGAGGAATCTTTGCCTCATCTTTTTGCTTTATGTCATTATTCTTGATCTATTTGGTTTGGAACAATTTCTCTTAAATCAGAGGATTTTGTTGCAGATTATGGAACTCTTTGAAAACTTAAGGATTTGCTTGGATTACTTCTTAAATCCAATCATGAGGATATGCTTATAAGTGTCATCATTGTCATTAATCTAATTTGCAAGAAGATAAATATATCAATAATCAAGAAAGGATATCACATTACTGTTATAAAGGAATTTCAACATTTATGTAATTGGCATGATCTAATGTGCTATACAAGAGCATATTCAGCGCTCATCAAGGTTGATGAACACTTAATATGGACCCCTTAGATGATCCAGATTTAAATACTTTTTTAAAATAAAAAATTTATAAAATTTAATAAATCTATTAATTAACAACATGTTTAGTTCATATTTAATTAAGTTGGTCCAAATTTAATATTAATTTTTTATCATTTTTATAAATTGATCATACAAATTTACTCTAGACTCTTTTGAATTTGACAATGTAATAAATTAAAATTTTGAATTTGAACATTACAAGGTAAATATGTATGGTCAAATTATAAAAAGTATAAAAAAATTAATATTGAATTTGGACTAATCTGATTAAATCTGGATGATACATATTGGTAAGTAATAGATTTATTCAAAATTTTATAAATTTTTATTAAAAAAATTTTAAAAAAAAGTACTTAAATATGGATTGTCTAGGCCCCTCATGAGCACGGAATTTGCTCCTTGTGCTATACCTCAACATAGAAACCCTCTCCTGGGTCTATTCCAAACCTTGTCTTGTATGATATTGAAAGAATTACTCTAAGGTCCTACAAATGTGTTGTCATTTTCTTAAGTTTAGTTGTCAATAAATCTGAGAATAATCAATTGTGTTAAGTGTATCTTTCAAAAAAAAATTGTGTTAAGTATAACTTGTACGTTCCATGTAATAAGTCTTTAAATTGATTGTGCATTTTCTTCAGTAAAATTAAGAAGAAACTCCCCACAAAAATTCACACGTCTCTAATGGCAAATGCTCAAGTCCCACAAACCATCATCTGGTACAAGCGAAAGGGCAACAACTAAGCTTTCTTTGCAAATGATTGTCTTCAATCTTTGCTTCACTGTATCATCATTTTCTCAACTGAAAATGAGTTCTTCCAGTAGAATTATGCATTCATCTCGTATTCAATCATCAATATCTTATATTTCTTGTTTAATTTCTGGTTCCTCCTCCCCGACCTCTTAACACCTGGCTCCTACACAGGTTTTTAGTTTTTTATTTATTATTTGTATTTCGTTCTCTCTTTAATATAATCTGCCTTTTAAGTTAAAAATAATTGCTTTTCGATCTTCCCACCCCATTGGTTAAAAATGACGAGTACTTTTTGTAGCTTTGCTTTTTTGGGGAACCGAAATGTCACTCTTTCTGCATCTGTCTTTTCACCTTTTTTGGGAATACGCAGAAGGGCATTTCCCGACGTCAACAATGCACAAAACGTGAGTGACATTTAAAATTAAACAGTGACATTTAATGGGGGCCATAGTTTGAACCAAGCCTCATTTACCAATTCAAATAAATTCAAAAAATTTTAAAATTAAACTTAAAAATTTAAAAGATTTTTTTTATTCTAAATTATTCAGACAACCCAAATATATTTAAAAATATTCAAGCCAAACCTAATTCCAAATGAACTTAACCCAAATACCTTGAATTCCTTTTTATTATTTATAAAATAATGTAAAAATAAGATAAAAATAAAAATATTAACTTTTTAAATAAAAATTCAAAATATTTAAAAATAAAAAAACAAATTAAAATAATATTTTATGATCCGAATATTTGGGCCCGAAGAGTTAGAATTTTTTTTCGGTATAAAACATCCAATATCTTCGAATATCTGGGTTTATTACCCGCCCCAAACTAATCTGGACCCCCCACGAGGAGACCTTACGGTGGTAGCGAGGTATCGATGGGACAACCTCTTTGAGGTTGCGTTAATTATCGCGTCTATCACTTCTCAGGGTTCAAACCCTCACCCTGAGGAATGCTAGTAGTAACCCTTGCCAACTCTACCAAGCACATTGAACTTAACTATATAAACTTTTTTTTTTATGTTAAAATATTTTAAACCCAATCTAAATAAACCTAACCCAAATTCAACCCAACGTGAATAAACTCAATCCAAAACTAATATGAAAGACCAAGTTAAATTCAACCCTAATTAGCAGCTCTAATATTGGCTATTATTAAAGACCAAGTTGATGTTTTAGAATGTGACTTCTATAACCGAACTAGTAAGGAGTGCCCACTAAAAAGGTAGGAAACGTTATATCATAATTACTTTCATTCTCTTTTTTCCCTATTTGCATGTAATTAAGTACTTGTGTACATATATACAAAAAAATTCCATTGTCCCCCGTTGATAGACATTTATAAATTATAACACTAGCACACGTTTAGGAATTGCCTAATAACGTAAAACACTAACAGTGTAAGAGCTCTAGTCAAAAGGATCAATGCGAAGATCATGTTCACTTGCCATAGCCATTCCAGTGCACAGACATGTTGGACACATAACCTGCCATCGAAATTTAGCACCACAGTTATCAATCAAATCAATTAGAAATTTTATCCCACTGAGTGGGTTCGGTTATATGGATTACACAAGACTGCAGTTATCAATTGACTCCACAACTACAACATGGATGGCAAATTCCTGCACAAAGAGACACCAATTTGGATATGCATATGGCATATAGACACAACTAAGATAAGAGAACATAATAAATTTCAAAAATTTAAGACACTGATGGCAACCGGGTCAAGTAAATGAGACTCGATTTCCCTTAAATGAAATCGAGGGCTTGAACTTTGTGAATAAAAAACTTATACTGGGAGAATTAGATCAAATTGAGCAAATAATACTTGAATGTAACAAAATAATACCATATATTAGATAATTGTATAAAATATTTTTTAGGATATAAGCTAGAGAGTATATATTTAAGTGAAAATTTTAAATAAGGACCAAACTTACATACTAATGGGTCCCAAAAAATTCTGAAACTTTAGTTCAGCCCAAGAGAATAAAAATAAAAATAATTTCAACTGTGAAAAAATAAAATGCCTTTTACTTGTTATACATAATCACTAATTGTTAATTTTCTCATTTCACTTATTAATTTACTAATATAAGTTGCAAATTACATTCGCTTGTTGCATTAGTAATATTGCACAACAAGTAAAGGGTACTTTAGTCTTTTCAAAATTGAAATTATTTTCACTTTTATCCATCTAGACTAAACTAAAATTTCAAAATTTTTTAGGACCCACTGATACTTAAGTCACATCCCTAGTCCTTATTTAAAATTCTCCCCATATTTAAGTTGCAAAAAGAGTATATTATTAAGTACACCATAAATCTCCCTACTGTATCAAGCAAGGAAAAAAAAAAGGAAGAATGACAAATAAGGATCCTTAAAAATATCAATGACCTTTTACAACTGAAACTCCAGGAACTTATAACTCAAAGGTCTTTATTTTACATTAATTTCCTTACAGGGTCTTCACTTGTCATTCTCCCAAGAAAAAATTTCAATAGCATGATCTAGACACTTTAGAGAGGTCAGCAGATCACTTGGAATCAAACTTCGATAGCAAAACAAGATTTGGCCAAAAAAAAATAGCAAAACAAGACAGAATGGAGACCCACATGATATGTTTTTTTTCTTTTCTTTTTTTTTTTTCCTTTTTGAAAAAAACCTTGGGTCCCCATACTTTTTTTTAACGTTATAAATCCCTACACTTTTATTTTTTAGTGCTTTAGATCCTTCCATAAGAGATGTTATAGGGACCTAAAACACTATAAAAAACAAAAGTGTAAAGACCTACAATATTGAAAAAAAGCATAGTGATCTATTACAAAACTCAAGTCACGTGCAAGACATAAAGTTTTTTTTTTTCTTTTATTTTTTGGGTAAGACATAGGGCCAAAGCCCAAAACCATGACATGCCTTCTTTATTAGTGTGTCGGTTACAAAATCTTCTATCTCATTCTTCAGATATAGAATGTCATTAAAGGAAGAAGGAAATTTGCGTCTGAAAATTGAGGAAATTTGCAATCATATATATTTAGTAACGAAATAAAAGAAAATAAAGTAAGTAGTTCGAGGTGACAAACCTTGCCAGATCCAGAACAGTTAGAACATCTCTCAGTTTTTGGAGGTGATAAAGGCTGATCTCTGCCGTTGACTGTGCTTAACGGTTCAATCAGAACAAGTGAGCCGGTGCTTGAACAGCGAGCACACGCAAGATATCCTGACAAAAAGAAATTTACAATAGATGCGTCAACCTTCTCTGCAGTTAATTTCTCAATGCATCAAGGCGTCATTAATATCTCCGTTGTACTAGACATTGAAACATTACTAAAATCTCCACTTAACTGGTCACATAACAACCCAAACCATGAATAATCAAGGGATAATCAACAAATTATTTCAAGACTACAAGCATCAACGTTTAACAAGAAATTCAGATGAGAGAATTCTATGGAAAATCCTAAGAATCTAAAGTAATAAAAAATGTAGATATGTTGCAGTTTGAAGCAACAGATAGGGGATGACTCAGCATAGGTGGAGTCAACAATTTTGAGAAGCGCTCAAAAACACAAGTCAGAAGGTTAACTCATTGATAGCTACATCAGGAGAAACCCTGAATTGGAGCCAGAATCCTACCAATCTTTGACATTCAAAAAATGGTGTGAATGTTGAATTCCAGCTGATCACGAAGTCCATCACAGATCAATGCAATTCAGTTGCGATAAATACAGTCTTACCATTTTTTTGTAAATATGATCAAACAGAAAATTGAAAGGTAAGTAGGAAACATGAAAAGTCGTTGAGGTTAAAATATAGAAGCCATTGAATCTGACTGGAAGAGTGTTCAAGGCGTTAAAAAAGTCTTTCCCAACTATCGAGTATAACAGGATCCTAATATTCATAGATCAGAAATAAGGAATCCCCCATAATTTGATACTATGATTTTTACTTTCCCCTTTTACTTGCAAAAGCAAAAGAGTCATCACCTTCTAAATAAGATATAGGAGTAAATGTACATTAAGAAGAGACGGTGGTTAATGAAAGAGTGACAAAATCATTACAGTCCATTATTAAAAAATTCAATTCCGAAAATGCAGACAATAGGCTAGAGTTTTAAATTCGATGTCATACCAGTACCAAGGCAGTACTTGCATCTCTTTTGCTCCTGCTGCTTAACATTGTTGATCTCAACAACCATTAATGCTGAAATCACCCCAACTGCCCCACCCGAGAATGATGCCACAATGGGATCAACCTGACTATGATTTACAAGAAACTTTAATTAACATATATTAACATAGGATGAAAAAACCAATAAAATCCAAAGAAAAAGAAAGTGGTCAGTGATGGACTGGTACTATTCAAAGATCGAGATAAAAGCAAATCAGATGTAGCTTCTGCGTGCCACAAGGTAGACAAAGACGGTAACTTTATCTTTTAAGATATCTAGTTTTTTTTTTTTTGTCTTTGAAATTTTATTCAAAAGCGCAGGGTATTAAGATGGATCACATATAAGTCTCATTAGTGACTGATCCGTTCTGATTTATCAGGCTATAAGTCTCCTTTGACTTTGATGGAGAACCACAAACCAAAGAAGATCATCGTGGCTTCCTGCCTGATGTTCTGAAGATCATGAGCAAGAACTGAAGTTGTACAACAACAACAACAACAACAACAAGCCTTTATCCCACTAGGTGGGGTCGGCTACATGGATTGCAAGACGCCATTGTGCTCTATCATTTATTAAGCTTTTAGAAATATTATTAATTAAGAGATCACGTTCAACAACTTCCAGAGTGTTCTCTTAGGCCTTCCTCTACCTCTCTTAATCGGACGCAAGAACTGAAGTTGTAATTCAGAAAAATTTCGTCTAAATGTGCCTCATTTCAAAACAGGAAGACTTCAAGCTACCAGCAAGTTCAACTCTGAAAAGGAGATGGATTCAAGCTTGGATTAATTTAATTGGAACATGCTCAGATCAGAGGGGTTTTATCGCTAAACAATTGTCCAGCGGCTGGCTGAAGGGCATTGTTATATGTACGAGACAATATTCAAAGAAAGGAAAGAACTGAAGGCCAAAACTAACTGTGTGCTTACTCATTCTGTTTCAGTTTGCCATAAATTGTTGTTCAACTTAGTTTCTAGGTTAACCCCAATTACAGAGCAATCAAACCTAGAGCATACTTCTAATCCCCGAGAAATACAAGGGCCCACCTCTTTATTTCTTTTTGTGACACTCCCGAAGCTTCAGAGAGTGTCGGTAAATATACTGCAAATTATCAATTGTAAAACCTTCATTAATAATAATTTGGGTTAGCAGGGGAAAACTTACCAATGTAGGAGAGTGAGTGAAAATTTTCAAATGTTCCGCCTCTCAAGAGCAGTCGAAAAAACTAATTGGTTGTGAAGTGCATATATCTTGATTTGCCATGAGATTGGGTGTAGGTCTTATAGGCTGAAGCTGAACCAAGATAAACCAATGTCTCCTCTATTTTCCTTAACTCGCATTTTTGCTTGCATCATAATCATTACCTCAGCACTGAAAATTGCCGCTGTTTAACTTGTCCTAGTTTCACTGTATATTAGTGATTCAAGATTCAAGTAGTGTTAACTAGAATGTTGCTGCTGTTTGTGTCCTTGTCTTGATGTGTGTCAATGAGTAAAGCCCGAAAGCGTTGACAAGTAATAACTTCAACGATTAAGCGGTGGCAATTAAAAGGTGAAAAGTGAGAAATTTTCAAGAGAAATCTCTTGGCCGAAGGAATTTGAGAGTGTTGAGGAAGTGCTAACATCTTGTGGGAAGATTTGGCTGTGAAGATAAGGAAGATTGCAAAAGAATTTTTGGAAAAATCAAGAGGATTTGGTCCAGAGATAAGGAGTCTTGATAGTGGAATGATAGCGTACAAGAAAAATAAAGTATGAGAAGGAGTGTTTTAAAGCCACCCATTTGTGCAATGATGATGAAAATTGAAAAAGGGATCGTATGACTAAAAGGAAAACTAAGAAGGCTAGTGAGTGAAGCTCATTTAAATCTTTCGAAAAGTTTTACAATAATCTTGGGACAAAAGATGGAGAACGAAAAATTTATAAAATTGCTAAGAGTAAGGAAAGAAAAACAAGAGATTTGAAACAAGTATATAAAGGATGAAAAGAGAAATGTTTTGGTCATAGATAGTGATATTAAAGACAATGAAAAACATACTTTTTTAAACTTTTCAATGATGGCAGGGGTTTGTCAATTAATTTGAAAGATTTAATAACTCCTGAAAGAAAGCAAAATTTGTCTTTTTATTGAAAAATACAAGCTTGCAAAATAATGGAAACTCTTAAGAAAATGGCAAATGGTAGAGCCCATGGACCTGATGATATCTCTATTGAAATGTGAAAATGTTTGGGTGAAGGGGTGTGGTGGTTGACTAAATTATTTAATGAGATCTTACAATCCAAGAGAATGCTTGACAATTGGAGGAGGAGCACCTTAGTTCCTATTTACAAAAATAAAGAAGATATTTAGAATTGTGCTCACTATAGAAGGATTAAACTTATGAGTCATATTATGAAGTTATGGAAAAGAATAATTGAGCATAGGGTGAGATTGGAAACTAGTATTTCTGAGAATCAGTTCAGCTTCACGCCAGGAAGAGACTATAGAAGTGATTTACCTACCAAGGAGATTAATGAAAAAGTATCGATGCAAAGGTAAAAACCTACATATAGTTTTCGTTGACTTGAAAAAAGTCTATGACCGTGTACCAAGAGAAGTACTTTGGAAGACATTGGAAAAGAAGGATGTCCGGATTGCCTATATTCGAGCTATACAAGACATGTATGAGGGGTAAAACTAATATAAAAACATCTGGCGGCGAAACAAAAGACTTTCTTGCAAAGATTAAATTGCATTAGGGATCATCTTTGAGCCCTTATTTGTTTGATCTTGTCTTAGATGCTTTAACTGAACATATTCAAGAGGAAATCTCTAAACTCATGCTTTTTCATGAATGATATAGTTCTTATTACGGAGATAAGAGAAGAAATTAATTGTAAACTTGAGTTATGGAAAGGAAGTTGGAGTCAAAAGGTTTTCACCTGAGTAAAAAAACGGAATATTTTATTATAATTTTGATAACAGGTCAGTGAGTAGTAATTTGAAAATAAAATTGGGTGATCAGATCATACCTCAAGTGGAAAAATTTAGATATTTAGGAGTAGTTATTCAACATAATAGGAAAAATTGATGAGATGTTGCGCATAAGATATAAGTTAGGTGGTTTAATTGGAGAAAAGCTAAAGGAGTTATCTACGATCATAAGGTACCTAATATACTTAAAGGAAAAATTTTATCGAACTGCTATAAGATCAGCAATATTATATGGTAGTGAATGTTAGGTTTTAACAAGACAACAAGAGCATAAATTGGAGTAACAAAGATGAGAATATTGACATGGATGTACAGACATACACGTAAAGACAAAATTTGAAATGAGAGAATATGGGAAAAATTGGGGCGTCACACCTATTGAAGAAAAATGATAGATAATCATTTGAAGTGATTTGGACATGTATAAAGAAGACCACGGAAGGCACCTATGAGGAAAGTGAAATAAATGACTTTGAGCCCTGTTAAGAAGGGTAAAGGAAGGCCAAAGAGAGCACTTTTGGAAGTTATTGAGCAAGACCTTTTAATTAACAATATTTCTAAAAGTTTAATAAATGATACAGCACAATGACGTCATATAATCTATGTAGCCGACCCCACTATGTGGGATAAGGCTTGTTGTTGGTGGTAGTGTTGTTGGTGTTTGTATCATTGTCTTCTTCCATCCAAAGCAATAAAATTGCTTATTGCAGTTGATAGCCCGTGTATTGATATTTCAAAGCGGTTAAGTTCTGTTTCTGCCTTCAGATCCTCTTCATTCACAAAGTGAAAGGTTTGTGAATGGAGAAGGTTCATTCAAAGGAAAATAGACATAACAAAATGTGATTGTGATTTGTGCATGGGGCCCAAATCTCACAATTAGGTATGAGGTGTGATACTCTCTCTCCCCCTCTCTGTACACCCTCTCCATTTAATTTTGTGAATGGAGAGGACCTAAGCCAAGTTGTAGCTTGCAAAAATTCTGCATACAACTGGTCACACCCACCCCCGGGGGTTCTTTTCTTGGGTGTAATTATCAGATTTCATGCAAAAAAGTGCAATCATGAGAGAAATTATCGCATTGCATCTTTAATGAGAAGCACAAAGAAAATAAGGGGCACACTATATAACAGGAAATGCACAGTACTTCAACTGCATAGGAAGATGCATGCTACGGGATCTCCTTGACCTATTTACATGGTAATAAATTCTTTCATGCACAACATGATAATTATAAGATATAAAAAAAACCTGAAGAAATAAGTATCTAAGCATTAGAATAGCAGAATGACCAAGAAAAGGGCATGAATTATCAATGTTGTATGTTAAAACTGACTTCAATCTTTTTAATGAATGAGAAGAATGGAGTAGCATAAGTAAAAGCATGCTTCTTTCACACAGAGTTCAACTCACATTAGATAGGCTCTTTGTGTGTATAGAAGACAGTAATTTCCTTCCAAATGAACTGAAGTGAAGTAGAATATCCATTACACGCACAGAAAAACAATAAATTTGTGTGCACAAATATGAATGAAAGCAGAAAAACTTACAGTGGGAGCGAGGAGGCCACCAAATAGCATCACCCACCAGCAATAAGAGAAAAACAAGTCGCATAGTATTGCTTAAGATTTGATGCACTCTGCTGCAAAAATAATATACAAATTGGTCACCATTTTCCAAGACCAAGGGCTTCATGCTAAACAAGCATATATAGACAAAATCATGGAAACGTTCATTATATAATTAGAATATATTATCACTAATTCCCAGAAGCTTACCAAGGGAGGCAAAAATAGAATGAATAACTGGGCTTCATGCTAAACAAGCATATATAGACAAAATCATGGGAAACGTTCATTATATAATTAGAATATATTATCACTAATTCCCAGAAGCTTACCAAGGGAGGCAAAAATAGAATGAATAACTGTTTACCCAAGACTTTGTGCATCATATCAATCAAGAACATGGAATAAATCACAGGCAACATACATTAAATGATTGAAATTGATATATAGTATCTCTAGCTTCAAGAAGATTACCAAGGGAGGCAAAAAAGGAATAAATGATGGAAAGTTTGGAAGTTCATTCTCTTGCTGTTCTTTCAATCCTAATTCAGCACTTTTAATCCTCTGCTGTATCCTGAGTCTACGAACCTGCACATAATAATGTTGGTTATTGTGTAAAACAAGTTGCCACACATAAGCAAGCATACATGGGAATTTGAATTTTGAGAAGGTTCTTCGTTTCAGATTGAAAAGACCATTAAAAAAACAGTTTATTTTCTTCGAAATATTTAAAGTAAAGGATGATAGAACTATAGCCAGCATGACCAACATCTATCATTGACACAATGAGGAGAAATGACAATCCAACAATCAATAAAATATCTAACTCTAGATTGAGAAGCTACAATCCTGCAATCAATAAAATATCTAACTCTACATCTCTTTTCCCATAATTTTTTGTTTTAAGACTTTTATTTGGAAACCAAGAGCTCAGCCATACCAGCAGCCATACATATGAAAAGTATTCTGCTAATCATTGAACCATCAACCATAAGATGTCAAATTATGTTTATAATAATAAAACTACAATAAGGGCCTATTTTTCAGATAAATAGGTATAGATTTGAATTATATTTCATTATATTTATCAATATTTTATACCAATTTAAGTATTTTTATATATTTTCTCTTATCATTTAACTGTAGGTTAAAGAAGAATTTCTCTATAAAATCTGCTCATATCTCTCTTTCTTTATATTATGCAGGAAAATAATAAACCAAATCAAGGAAAGAAGGGGGAAAAAGAAAAGAAAAGAACGAGATATGCTGGAGGAGAATTGATGAGGGAGAAAGAATTAAAGAAATAAAATAAATAACTCAAATAGCAATCCTAATCAAATCCATTCAAAAGGAAAAATAGAGAAAAATAATATTACAATATTTTAGGACGATTAGGAAATCTTGGGGACAAAATATTATAAATAAGAGTTCCCAGGGCTATTCAAAAGCATCTAATCTTCACCCCACTTGGGGTCAAGGCCCTTGGTGACCAATACTCAACCTTGGGAGCCTTGGAGTCTTCTGAGAGCAATCTGAAGCAGATGAGCAAAATTCATTCTTTCATCTTTTTCTTTATTATTTGGGATTTTGTTCTGTTTCACTTTTAATCTTATGACAGCTAAACTCCCAATTAGGGATAGGATGAAGCCTATTCGGTATTGATTTTTTGGATCTTTTTTAGTACTCTTTGTTTTATTTGAACTTCATGAATATTTTTAATTTTATATTATTTTAAATTATATCTATTTCTCTTATTCTTCATGTTGATTTTATGACTGATCATCATTTAATTAAATCTATAGACAATCTTGATGAACTGGGAGGTAAAGAGAGAACCTATATCTAGAGAAATAGACACAAATAACTATGTTAGGGATAGTTCTAAAAATTTATGGTGACTTAAGACTATAGTTTCTTGGTTTAATTAGTTGTTTGGATATCATGAAAATGAATTAAACACTAACAAAAAAGGGCTAATAATTCAGGAGAATATTAGGACATTTTAGGAATAGTTGTCACTATAATTGCAAAGAGACAACTCAAAAGGTGAAATTTTATAATTCTAGTAGATCAAATTCAATTCCTAACACTCTCTTGCTGGATCAACATTTGTTTATTTTATTCTTAGTTTTTAAAATTGTTATCTCTATTCAACTATCATCCTGTGTTCAGCCTAAATTTAATTCGGTTAGTAAAACTTAGCCTCCTCCTTGAAATATTGGATAATTTACTACTGCGATCTAATACACTTGCAGAGAGCAATCAGTAGACATCTTAGACTAACATACATTTTTGCAATTATGCCATCAGATCAGCCATCCATCCTATCTTCCAAGATCTATATAAATCTCACATGAAACAGTGCCTTCAGAGTGCATGAAATATGATATACATGAAGAAATGCACAGATCTATATAAAACAATAACAAGAACAGTTTAGGTTCAAATGCGCATGCAAGTTTGTTATTACGTTAGGCTAAAATGCATATAACTACCCCTCAACTTTGGTCCTTTTTATATAACACCCCTAACCTTTGAAACTGACCAAAAACTTCCCTAACCTTTTATTTTTGTGCTTAAAACATCCTACTCTTAACAGAACTGTTAAATCACTAACCCCCTTGTAAATTTTTTTTTTTTAATGTTTTCTTTGTCCTATGTTTCATACCAGTTTGGGTTCAAACAAACAACAAAGATGCATATATAGGTTTCTGGCTGGTTCCAGGAGAAAAGAGGAAATATAATGCAGGAGGAGAAATTGAAAAGTTGATTTATACCCTTTATTTATCTTCATAAATGACGTAAATGTGATAAAAGCTCACTAAATTAAATATGATGAGGCAAATTCTTATTCATTTAACAGTTACGTTAATGAAAAAGGCTATCTACATAAAAATAAAATGTTAAGGAGGTTTTAAATCAAATTTTAAATGTTAGGGGTCTTAACTGCATTAAGCTCAAAGTTGAGGGCAGTTCTATGTATTTTAGCCTTACCATTAAATCTCACAGGATTTGGTTGCTTTACGAGTACCCAATATGGGGCTTTTAATACTTGGAAGTTTAGGAATATTCACAGGCAGTATATCCTGTAACATTTCTTCTGTTTTCTTTTGGGGCTGGGGTTTTAATTAATGCATTTTGTTTTTTTAAGGGAGAGCTATAATTTAGGAATTCTTGACCAATTCATTTCCACTATAACTAGTTAGGAAAATTATTCAAACAGAAAAAGTAACCAAGTTAAAAGTGTGGCTAACAGGCTAACCACATATTGAATTGAATTAATTAATAACCTGCAAGTACCCAAGTTAGTTATTACAGCTAAACTGTAGGTTCCATTTACTACATCATGCAAGGATAAATAGGTATGTATAGAACTAAAACAATAAGGTATTTTTTGATGTTTATAGGCAAGAAGAACTGTAAACCTTATGGTTAAGACTTTTATATGGCTTTCACCATGTAATACTGTCCTGCCAAGGGAATGGAAGACTTTGGTAATAGATTACAAACTTTGAATGAAAAGAAAATAAGTAAAACCAGCTTGCCCTCATTTGCCAAGATATCATTATAACATCACTACCACAGTCCGCCACCGCCATTGTCCATGGTCAATGATCGCCACCATCTTTACCACAATTACCAGCCAAACACTGCAAGCACCTCTCCCCTTATACCCGCCACAACTATTGTCATATATCCATTTCCAGTTTGCCACTATTACCACTACCACCACTCCTTACCTATTACTACACACTGATGCAACTAGCATGTAATAGTATAAAGATTGATACAAAAAACATAGTTTTATATAATATTATTCAATTTTGTATCTACCATAATGCCTATACTAATGACAAAATAATCATAGCGGTAATAGTTATAGTTCACCTATGACTATCAATAGAACAGAATCTACCCATTCTTACCTCTTCCATATGCAAGAAAAATCTTGTTCCTCCGACTTCGAATGTTATCCTGAATTTCTTGTAGTTCCATTTTTGCAAAATCTTGTACTGTTTCTGCCCTTCTATGATGCAGAATCTGCAATTGAAAGGGAATCACTTGATTGTGCTCTGAGAAAGAGAATCATAATCACAACAAATTTCAAGTATAGCGGTAGCAGTGAGAAACAACAGCGCTCAACATGATCATCTAACTGAATCAAAAGAACGAACCAAATTCAAATTCCATTTGACCAATCAAACAACGAGTATGGCAAAGTTGCAAACAACAATAAATTAAAGAAGAGCAGCCCCAAGACAAACATAAACCAAACAAACACACTTGACTGCGCCGTGAGAAAGGAATGACTTCGCATTGTTTTTACTTTTAATATTTAGGCGATTCTGCAACAGAAAGAGAAAGAAAGTTTACCCTGCAGCGTTTTCATCAGCTAAATCAGAGTCCATAGATTAGAAACCGCAATCAATTAAACAAATTGCATGCCAATTTGCTGCCAACAATAATTAACGAAAAGCATCCGAAAACAAACATACAAACAGAAAGCCAACTGGAAACACACGTCAATGTTTTTCTAGTTTTCTTCCATAATTATATCCAATCAAATCTGCAACAGAAAGAGATAAAAAGCTTACCCAGCAGCGTTTTTATCGGCCACATCAGAGTCAACAGAAGCTGCAAAAGAAGAGTCCGATTCTAACGCCATGAGTGGGTATCTCGAGCTGAACCTGCCACTTCCATGGAGAAATATCTTGCGAGTGTATGGAGAATCGTACCGATGAAAAGAAACTAAAGAGTAGGAGAGGGCCAGGATTCCGACCCAAACAAAGCATCATCACGAACAAACCTCAGATGAAAAAGGAAAAGGAAGAGAAAATGGAGGCAAGAGTACTATGATGGAAGAAACTAAACTTAATAATATATCTATGGATTTTCATGAATGAAAGCTCCACTTGGCTACTTGTACCGATGAAAGAAACTAAAGAGTAGGAGAGGCCAGGATTCCCGACCCAAACAAAGCATCATCACGAACAAACCTCAGATGAAAAAGGAAAAGGAAGAGAAAATGGAGGCAAGAGTACTATGATGGAAGAAACTAAACTAATAATATATCTATGGATTTTCATGAATGAAAAGCTCTACTTGGCTACTTCTGGCCCTGTTGTGTTGTGATGAAAATGGTTTGCGACGTGGAGGTTGTGAATTGGTGGACTTCGATTCATTAATAATGAGAGAGAACGGCATTTTGAGTGGTGACGGTACAGTCAGATTCCATGGAAAATGTTTGAGCGTAAAATCAGTAATAACTTTGGACTTTCTTGTTTCAAGTACCCTAAATGAAGAACTAATAAAAAATTAATGTTATGCTATGTTTGAATATCTATAAATTTAAATTTAAATTAAATTTATTATTTAGATACTTAAAAATATATAAATTTAAATTTAACTAATTAAATTTATTATTTGAATAATTAAAATATATTAATTTAAATTTGACTCAAATTCAAATTTAAGTTCTATCCCAATTTTTTTATAATTTAAATCCTTTCCAAACCCCTATTAGTTTAAATCATAATCAATCTCTTTTATAATTTGATCTAAATTTACGAAGACTTGATTGGCCTACCAACAATAGTTGGACCAAATTGCTGAAGCTAACGAAACCAAGCTGCCAATGCCATTGAGATTAGACCATTACAGTCGACCAAGACTGCACTATCGATGCCAACCAGGACTAGATGGCCGATGTGCATTGGGACTAAATTGCTGCCTGCCAATAGGAATCGAAGTGTAGGAGATAATCTGGACCAAACGACCAACTTTTACCTAGATAGACCAACAATGCCGACCCTAATGAACGACAAACTTCTATAGGGATTAGACTATTAGAGATAACCTAGAAGTGCCCCTAACTTCCATTGAGACTGGACAGACAATGGAGACTGGAATGGGATGACTAACTTCCTCTGGGACCAAATCGATGGCAAAAATTAGGACAGGATGGCTGACTTCTACTAAGGCCAGACGGTTGACTTCTACCAAGGCCGGACGGCTAACTTCCATTGAGATCGAGTGGCCTGTGCTGACTGTGATCAGATGACCTCTTGTGACAGAGATTAGACGGTGAGCACTAACAGTGATCGAATCATCATCAATATGATCCTAATCGAAGTCGGTAGTTTAATCCCAGTCAAAATCATCTACCCAGTCATGGTGGGAGACTGTTATTTGATTCTATTTGCAAGCAAAATCTAGGTTAGCAACAGCAATCCATTCCTGATTGCCTCCTTATAGAAGTCAACCATCTCATCCCAATCATCGTTATCGGTCTAGTCCTAATGAAAGTCAACCATCCAATCCCGATTGTCGTTGGTCCAATCTTGATGGAAATCTATCATCCCGTCCCAAACGTCGTCAATGCTACAATTCTAGTTGGCATTGACAATCTATTCCTGGTAAAAGTTGGCCATTTAAACTATTGACTTTGACTAGGAATGGAATGCCAATATCGTCCTAGTTTGTTTTAAATTTTTTTCACACCAAAAGTTTCTTTAAATTTAAATATAAAATTTAAAATTTAGAATCTTACTTTAGATCCAAACAAAAAATTTTAATATTATAATTTGAAATTCTTTATATCATCCAAACAAAGAATTTAAAATTTATGAATTTTAAATATAAATTTCAAATATAAGATTTAAAATTCAATTTCTAATTTAAATCCAACCATCAAATGCAACCTCAATTATTTCATGTTACAAGTCATTTTAGACTTTAAAATAATATTTAATTTAAAATTTCATGCTATAGGTCATTTTGGACTTTGAAATAATAATTTTTGGTATATTTTATTGTTTATGTTTAAAACAAGATTTTGCTCCTCCATGAGGTATACTTGGTAAATATGTTATGTTTTTACATATATATTTTATTTCTCAATTCTTAATCTTGGTGCAGTGTAATTTGTATTGTGAAAGTAACTAATGCATGTTTGAATTACTTTTTAACTGAGGTTAGAGAGACTCCAACCTCAGTTGAGATGAAAAAAGCTCATTAAATATGTTTGGAAAAAAAAATTGAACAAGCATTGTTGCAGAATGAGTCTTGATTGCAAAGCCAGACTCATTGAGGTAGAGAGGGAGACGACAGATGCAGGTGGTGGGGAGGGAGATGACACTGGTGGTGGGAGAGGAAGAAGAAGATGGAGGGATAGAGTGTAGAAGGGAGATGAAGTGAAAGGGTTTTGTGAGGACTCTACAAGATAAGAAGAAACAAAGGGCTTTGAGGAAAAGCGGAGGAGAAGGAAGAGCAAGAAGGTGCTCACTATGACACTGTGTGTGTGTTGCTCACTATGACACTGTGTGTGTTTTTAAGTATGTTTGCATTGCGCTAAACTCTAAGGAGGAAGAAGATGATTATACTGTGTTTCATTATTTTATATTTAATTATAATTATAATTTATGAATTAAGACAAAGTAAAGGAAGAAAAACAATTAAAATATTGTTTCATTATTTAATTAAAATACACTCCATTTAATATAACCTTATTTGTGAAACATTAAATAGAGGGAGAAAATATAATAAGATTAGAATGAAATAAGATTTGCATACCAAAATTAAACTGTAAATAATATGAATTGAATATTTTATAATTTATGAATTTATTTGATCTTTTTTTAGTATTTCAAATTTTATTATAATTCTAACTACCTTTTAAAAATTAAGATATTTGACTTATTAATGTATTTTATATTTGTAATCTAATTTTTTAAAAATGTAATTTTAAAATTATACTTTTTCCTAAAAATATCAAATTAATCATAAAAATATGTATAGAAAACTCATGTTTTTTTTGTTATTATTCATCTCAACTGGCTTTTGAATCAAGTTATCCAAATAAATTTTAATTTGTCCAACTAACTTTTGAAAAAATATATCTAAACGTAAATCATGTTATTTATTTTTCTTAACCTCAGCTTGATAGCCTCAATAAAATCCTGACCTCAGTTGTGAATTTTTTAATCTAAAAACACTTTAAATCTACTCATTCAATAAGTATCTCATGTTACATAATAACAACCATTTAATTTAATTGAATGGCTATAAGAGATTTTTGTCATATAATATTTAGAAAGTATCAAATATCAAATTTTTAGAGGGGAAAGTGTTCTGATCCTGATAAATGCTTTGAATTTTTAAAGAAAATATCTTGATAATCATATTGATAAAATATAATGATTATAATTAATACACTCATTGAGTGAGTAAATTTAACTTACTAAATCCAAATCCATAACATTAAATGACAAATGCAATGATACATATAGAGTATTTATTTCTTTTTTTTTAACATGATAAAGTGCCTGTTTAGATAATTTGGAATCAATTTTTAGGTCAAAATCACGTTTTTTGAAAGTATATTCAACCACTCATATTATAGTAGTGCCCTATTGACATTACCATTCAACCCTTTATTTATCTTACTAATCAATCCAAAATTATTTATTTTGAGAACTTTGGAATCCTAAAACAAATATTATCAAAATTATTTCATAAATTACTCAAATTATAAAACATTACACAGCAGAAGCAATATTGAAAGGTGCACTCAAGACTAAGGGAATATGTGTATTTCAATAAAATTAGGTCAAAATATAAGACGTGTACTACGACTCATGCCACATGCACCATAACATGTGGCATAAAGACCACGTGACTCTCTGTGCCGTGCACTGCGGCGTGCGAGTATATGTGCTTCGGCACACACACCTGAGTTTGTCGTTATATTGCAAATTCTGGTACGAACTTCAGATGTGCGCCATTTTCGCACTAATATCCAATAGGGGTGATTCAAGCGTCTACACAAAGCTTGTCTCATATTTTAACTAATGATACTAGTTTCATTTTAATCAGATATCCTATTTAAAAGTTGAACACCCAAATGTGTTTTGATCGTTTTAAGTTAAAATTTGCCACTCGTGCATCTCAATTCAAAACCATACGTCATTACCACTTTTTGGGCCTTAACCACATCCAATTGAACAATACACACCTGATTAACTAATCACATAGGCAATATAACATATATACACACATTTGACCGGTAAATTACTCGTATCCATACATTTGGGCAAAATTTCATTTATTCTTCCCAATCTCATACAAGATCATATATTTTCTGCATACACTTTAAGTATAAAGGGCTAAGGAGCTCAAAATCACTAAAACATGTCACAATCACAACTATATACTCATGCACTAAATTCTATAATAACTTATATACAAGTTCATAACTAATAACCTACAAATTCATTACACCAAATTCTTATAGAGGCTTTATTGAAAGGCATCAACTCAGCCTATGTCTTTCCTTTTGAGCTACTAGTGCCAGAACTTGAAAAATATAAATAACCACGGGTGAGAAAAAAATCTCAGTAATAATATAGTTTGTTAAATGTCTATTATTGTAAATAACCAAACTAAAGTAATATCAGATATATATATATATATATATCAAATATGAGAAAATTTCATCTTTTCAAAGTATTTCTACATAAATACATACTAACATGATCATCTAGCCACTGAACCTCCAATGCTTCCCGACATGAAACCATAAACTCTATTGAATCAATCACTCGTTGACCTAAGTATACTTTCAAAGGTAGAAACACCCGACCAAAAGTAATCTAACTCACTTACGGACTATGGTTTTCCTCTTTACATACTTGTAATAGAGGCATTATTGACTTCTAACTGCACCTTAAGTGACACTAAGGAGTTGTTAGACTACCTGAATGTCCCATGGTAACAGTCCCATAATACGCTTTACCGGATTACCCATGGTAACATCTTGCATAATGCTGCACCGGATGTCCTATGGTGCTAGCTCTACCATATGGATTTTTCACTCACATATCTCCATACACACATCCCCACTTATCCTAGG